CCTCCTCCTCCTCCTCCTCCTCCTGCGCATCCGCCTCCTCCTCCTCCTCCTTCTCCTCCTCCTGCTCCTGCTCCTCCTCCTCCTCCTCCTCCTCCTCCTCCTCCTCCTCCTCCTCCCTCCTCCTCCTCCTCCTCCTCCTCCTCCTCCTCCTCCTCCTCCTCCTCCTCCTACGTGCAGAAAATCTCCCCTCCCAACTCGCCATCGCTCGGACGTCCATTCCCTGTGCTCTTTTCAGTTTCGTGCGTGGCTTTTCTCGCCAAATGATCAAGGATGCTCTTCGATGGTCCTCGCCGAAGGAACAATGCACACGTCCGAGCGATGCCTCCCCAATCGAACCGTAAACGATGGGCCGAGTCCTAAACCTACCCTTGGGGGATCATGGCCCTCCAGAAGGCGCCCGCCGGCGGATCGACAAGGGCCCCTAACGCAGCGGGAAGGGACGGGTGGGAGGGGTGAGAGGCCAGATGACGTCAGGCGTGGCGCGAGCGCACCTGGCTTGTCCTTCCCTCCTCCTCCTCCTCCTCCTCCTCCTCCTTTCTCCCTCCCCCTTCCCCTCCCCCTCCCCTCCCCCTCCTCCTCCTCCTCCTCCTCCTCCTCCTCCTCCTCATCCTCCTCCTCCTCCTCCTCCTCCTCCTCCTCCTCCTCCTCCTCCTCCTCCCTCCTCCCCCTCCCCCTCCTCCTCCTCCTCCTCCTCCTCCTCCTCCTCCTCCTCCTCCTCCTCCTCCTCCTCCTCCTCCTCCTCCCCCCGTCCCTTCTCGACGGGGAGCGCGGCGGGCGCGTGGGCGGCGGAGAAAGCCCCCCTTCCCGCGGCGTCCTTCTCCAGCGCCTCGCAGCAGTCGCCCGCCGCCGGCGCCGGCGCCGTGGTCTGCGTCGATCGGGGGGAATGGGGCGGGTCTTCCTTGCAGAACCATCGCGCATGCTCAAGTTCTATCTTTTTCAACATCACGCTGGAAACAACACAACATACTCGATATCAGAAAAAAGCGGGCGGCGGAGAAGCAAACACCTGAAGCGGTAACTGACGTATCGAAAGAAACGGCGGCAAGGCGAACCAACGAATTCAAATCAGTTGGAACTGCCCGTGAAAATTTGGCAGCGAATCGTCTTGTGACCAGTGCGGAATTATTCTGGCGGGCTGCGTTTTGCAACCCGTTGAAAACTACAACGAACATAACAACACATAATATCTTAGGCGGGCGTGGGACTCTCCCGAGAAATATTTGCAATTCTTTTAAAACGGCGCACCGCGTGACGCGGAAGTGCGATATTATTCAATTCCCAACCAGACGAAACATCTCAACCCGCCCGCGGGCGCAGCCGTAATCGCAGCCAGGCAACAACAAAATGGCGGCGGGCTCGCCGGCCAACACCAGTTCAAAATGGCGGCGGCGGGGGAGGGGGGCCCCCAGTCAGTACTGCGGTGAGCACCGAAGAGACCGTAGTGATTTTTCAACATATGGCAGTTCGCGCAACAAGAAGGGGGTCTGCCCTGGGTCCTCGGCTGTCGGGGGCTCCAGAGCCGCCTCGCGTTCCCTCCTACTTCCCGTCCTCCTCCTCCTCCTCCTCCTCCGCGTCTCCTGAGTGAGGGGTGAGATGATGGCAACCTTGTGGCCAAGCTTCCCTGTTTTTTCCCTCCTGCCAGGCCACCGCGACGCCGCGAGCTCCACGAGGAGATGGAGGAGGAGGAGGAGGAGGAGGAGGAGGAGGAGGAGGAGGAGGAGCGAGGAGGAGGAGGAGCAGCAGAACACCCGACCAGGAAGATCAACAATATGAGCAACAGCGGCAAGACTGGTGCGTCGACAACAATGACGAGACGAGGACCTGAAGAGCATGAATATGAGGAGACAGCAGCAGTAGCAGCAGGAACAGGAACAGGACCAGGAGCAAGATCAGAACCTGCACCGGGAGAGAGACTACGACGACAACGATGATGACGACGACCACGACGACGACCACGACGACGAGACGAGACGAGAATATCCGAAGCAGGAGTGGCCGAGAGTAACAACAGGGGGACGACGAGGACGGCGACGACGATGATAAGCAGGAGGAGGAGGAGGAGGAGGAGGAGGAGGAGGAGGAGGAGGAACAGCAGCAAGCGCAGGAGCAGCAGCCTCAGGAGGGGGACACAACGGCAAGGAGGACGAGACGAGGACGTCTGCAGCAGCACGAGGAAGGCAGCAGCGCGAACATTCCCCCAGTCTGCTCCGACAACATGCGAAGGGGCCCAGCGAGACGTAGCACGACCGCCTCCATAATTTCAGCGAGGGCTGTCCTCCCGCTCCTACGGATGGTGATGAAGCTTTGGCGGGGAAGTGACCCGCTCAGCATCGCCCTCGACCTGCTGCCCGGCGACTGCTTCTTCCCCACCCCAGCTCCACAGCACTGCTCAGGAAAGTACTGCCACTCGTCGAGCTCCCACTCTCGCCGTTCGCCGTGAGCACACCAGCAGACGGGAACGGTGCAAGACATATGGGCCACCAGGATGCGCGCAGCAATTTAGTACCGTGCGCGAGGGACAGTACGCTCATCCCTCGCGCCTCCTCCCCTCCTCCCCCCGCCCGCCCGCATCTTCCTCCCTCCTCCCTCCTCCCTCCTCTTTTCCCACACTTCCCTTTTCTTCCCAAGCTCCTCCCCCCACCTTTGTTTCCTTCCCTCTCCTTTCACTCCTCTCCCTCTCTCACCTCCGCTTTTCGTCCTCCCTTTTTACCTCATGTAACCATCCCGCCTTGCTTTCCTTCGCTCAATCTTCCTTTGAACCTTCCCTCGTACTTTATCTTCTACCCCCAGGGGCCCCATCACAGCCCTAGGATGTGTAAGTGTGATGTCTTCCACGATTGCTCGCCTATTCGCGTCCTCGGTTCAACATTGCTTCAACAAGCTCCCGACGGCCCCAAAATTGCACAAGAATCCAGAACCGCCCAAGAATGTTCTGGTCAGGGTTAAGAGCCTGTTGACGGCGCTGCAAGCTCTGTTGAGTGCTGCCTTGCAGCTATCCTCCTAATGTTTATCCACCGGGCAAATTCTACGAGGTGGCTCAGAATCACAACCGGAACCCGCGACCTTCGCAGCCCCCGCAGGCACGCGTGCAGCTGCCAACGATTGTACAGCATGGGCCCGCGAAGTGAGCAGAGCGATCGAACACGACTTCGTTCGTTGCGCCTGGGTGCAACCGCCTCCCGCACTCCGAAGCGCACGGCGACGACAGGGGCGAGGAGGCCCAGGCACAGGACGGGGTGGGCATAGATGGCGAAGAGCGGGAGGCGGAGGAGGAGGAGGAGGAGGAGGAGGAGGAGGAGGAGGAGGAGGAGGAGGAGGAGGAGGAGGAGGAGAGAGAAAGAGAGAGAAAGAGAGAGAGAGAGAGAGAGCGGCGGGCCCGCGCCAGGCTCGTTCCGCTTCCCCCTCGCGGGAGGTGCCCGCGCGGGACCCCTTCCTTTCGGACCTCCCGACCCGCCTCCGCGGCCGCGCCCGGGGCGCCCGCGCTGAACGGCACGCCGGGGGGCGGCGTGTCGCTGGCGGCCGCGGCGGCGCCGGCCTCGTCCGTGGTCGCGGCCGCGGCCGCGGCCGCGGCTGCGGCTGTGGTGGACGTGGGCTCGTCTGGGGCCGGCTCGGTGCCTCCAGCGGCGGCAGCGCCCGCGTCCTCGTCGGCTGCGGTGCTGCCGTCGGCTGCCATCGTCGTGGTGGCAGCCACGCTGGTGGTGGGCGTCGTGGGGGCCGCCGTGGTGGAGGCCTCCGAGGACGTCGTCGCACTGGCGGAGTCGCCAGCGGTTGCCTCAGAGGCGGGCGGGATCAAAACACGGATGGCCTTCCATGGGGGGCCCCCACACCACGCGGCTTTGGGACCTTGGAGGCCCCAGTCGCCCGAGACGTTCTCGGAGAACGACCCGAGTGCAAAAACCGTGCGGTGGCCCCGAATCCCACCGACTCACCACGTGCTGTGGTCACCACACCGTTTCGGGGCCCCCGACTCTCATGGGCGGCGGGGCAGAGTTCCGAGCCCCGGAGGGCCGAACTGGGGGCCGATGGAGCCCGCAGGCCAGGAGACCCTTGGGACCCGGCACGAGAGCTCCCCTGGGATGGCATCGAGATCGCCGTGCGGGCTGGGTGCACGCTGAGCCCAGGCTGCTCGGACGTTTATGTTTCCTGAGGTCTCTCCACCACCCTGCGGCCGCAAGGGATCTGCAAAAAGCGCACTGGAACTCGAAGCCAGAAGTGCGTGCGATCTGCCGGCCGCTTCGACAACTACCGCCCTCCAGGTTAATCTCCCATGGCGAAGGTCGATTCGCAATGACCTTCCTGCTGTACATTTTGAATGGTGCAAAATTGCCCATCCGAACAATCCGCTGGCCCCCCTGGGGGCGTATGGCTGTGAACCATGCTGCTCGACTGCTGTCTCGTGTGCTATGTGTTGTCTCTTACTTTCTGTCTCCATTCGACTGTCTCTCGGGGGGAGCCACGGCGTAACAAAAACACCTGTGTGTGTGAGCCTCGGGATCCTTACCGTTCTAGGTTGCTCCGGGATTCCCCAAAATAGCGCCTCAAGAGCCCAATAAGGCCGAAGATGGCGCCAAGATGTTTATACGGTGGCCTAGAAGCCCCCAAAGTCCCCTACAGAACAAACAACAATCAATAACCGTTGTGTTTTCGATGCTCTCACACGTCCCATACATTTCTCTCCTAGGATGTTCCAAAGTCTCTACAAGACGGCCCCCCAGATATCCCTACGTTGCCCAAGATGGTCCCAAGATGGTCCCCAACTGCCCCAGGATGACGCCGAGATCGCCCAGGATTGCCAGACAGGGCCCTGGGATGGCCCAAAGATGCCCTCAAGAGGCCACCAGAGTGGTGGGCCCCAGAGGCCCCGAGATCACCCCAATACAGCCCAGCACGTCCCAGAGAAAGCCCGATGGGCCCCAAGGTGCACCCAGAAGGCCCCAGGGCGGCCCAAGAACGCCCCCCCCTGACCTTCCAGCATAGCCACCAGATGGCTCGGTCTGGGGGCGCCAGCGGCTGAGGGCGCAGCCCTTCATACAAAATATGATGAGATACAGTCGGGGCGTTGACCTAAGGAACCCTAAATAAGGAACGAGGCCCCTTTTGCTCACAAGTTAAACATCGATGTCCCATGGAAAACCTCAGGAAGACCTGCAGCAAACTGTTAAATAATCAAGGAACACCGAGCCCCTCCCCAACGAGAAGGGTTCCTTCTTCAGCGCCCCGACTGTAGTCAGGTCAAGGGCACCTCTTCGAGCCAACCCGGATGTGGCAAGGCATGCCCAAATCAATGGTTTAGGACATTTCCATGGGGCACCTGCTGGGAGGACAATCTCCGCGCTGCGGTGCTGGCTTTCAGCGCAGTAGCGGGAGCTGTGTCAGTGCCGTGGAAACTGTCGCTGCTGCCACGTCAGCGTTGGCTCCCTTGTGTTTCCCTTCAGGGTTGCCAAAGACCTTCGATGAGTTCGGGCCCGAATAATTATCAGGGCCCAGACCGCCAAGACCCAGCCAAACGATCCCACACCAAAAATATCACCCGAGACACTCCCAAGAAACTCAAGGAATGACCCCCCAATAGTTACAACAACAACCGTGCAACGGCCAGTGCAACGGCGTAAATCGCCTCTCACCTAAACTCGTAGCTTAGTGGACCAGTATCGGGAGCACTTTGCGGGATAATATTATTGTCGTGTGTACACATCAAGACACTCTTGTCGAAGCACAGGACCTGGCTGGGATGCCATGTGCGACAATGATATGCACCCCGTGCCCTGGACACGTACATTCGACGCGCAAGCAACTGTCAACAACTCGTTTAGGTGACGACCCGTGTAGAGTCTGTGGCATTTGCCGGTTTCGTTGGCGAATGCGGAACGCCTGACGCCTTTCGGCCAATGGGTGGCCAACCGTGTGAAGGTCGTGGGCCACCGGCGCCACCTGAAGCAAGAAACGCAGAAGCGTCTTGCATACGAGCATGCGCTCATCATCCAACTCGTCCGCTGTATGTTACGCGTGGGAAGTGGACGAGGCAACGCGAGATGGACGATGTCGTGGTCAAGGCCCGTCGGACCGAATGGTGGGGAGCCTGAATTACATGGAACAGTGTCAGCAACGTTGCACTGTTGACAGCCAGAGGACGAGAAACGGGAAGCGCCGAGTAAACCTGATCGGACGAGAACGGGAAGCGCCGATTTTGTCCTTTGGGCTCGTAAGGATGATGGCGACGACAAAGCGGCGGATGTTGAGGATGACACCGTGGATGACGGGCAGGGCAGCGATGCAAGCAGGAGGACAAAGAGTCGAAGGGGTGCGGGTAATCATCGCAGCGCCAAGCAAATCTACCGCCGTGCTTGACCGATACTGGGATGTCGGAACGTTTGCGAGTCGTGGGTCGTGCTGGTGTAGGCCTTCAGGAACGACTTCCTCCTCGCTGCACGCGCCCTCAGGACCACCGCTCATTGATTGCCTCCCGAGTCACCTCTCGGCCTCCACGCGTCTCCAGGACGGGCCAGCACCGCTCGACGCTGGCTGCAATATGCTCCAAGACTACCCCAAGACGCTTGAATGACCCCTCAGCTGCTCCATGATGCTCACAGGAGCCCCCACGACGCGCCAGAACGAACCGAGATGCCTGCAGCGACCTCCTAAGAGGCGAAACGCAACGAATCATCCAAGAAACTTCGGTCTTGGCTGGTGTTAAGGCTGTTCGGGTTAAGACCGCCTCGGGAAAACTTCAAGGACATGTAGAAACCCATGAAAACGGCCACAAGACAGCCCCACGGCGGCCTCGAGACGCCCCAACTACGGCCCAATACAGCGACCATGCGACTCCAAGGCGGCCGCCAATCTGCCCGTACGCTTCCGACATGCTTCAACTGAGCCTCTTGGGAGACACGCTGCGAAACCATCGCGCCCAAAACGCCACAGGGCGCCAACATGTTCTAAATCGTTCGACGCGATGATCCCAGGAGGTGCATATCTTTGCCTTGTACTTCCCATCGCGGCCCGAATGCAATACCTGCTGCAACGCGGGTCATGGTGACGTGACAAGAATTACCTCCCCTTACCCCAAACTGCCATCGCTGCCCGAGATGTCCCGATCTTTCGACGCGACCGGGCCCGTGCAATATCCATCCGGCGACTCCCCATCGGGCGGCCCGACCGCAATGCACACATGGCGGCTCCCCCCGTGGAAGGCCCAAATGAAGTCAATGCCTGCTGCATCGCGGTGGTCTTGGGGCTCTGAAAACAAACACCCATACCCCGCCCAACCAGTACACCCTGCGAAATGCTTAAGAAATCATGGGTTAAGAAATTCAGAGCCTCAGAATTGGAGTAAAAACCCAGAATTTCTTTCAAAATCTTAGGATCTACATTGAAAAATTAAGAATCATCGAGACTCTGGCCGAAAACTTGAGTTTTCTTAAGCATCGCCTAGGGTGTACTTCTACTCGAGGGGTCCCGACGACCCGGGCACGAGCGGGCCCGTGCAGTACCCCTGGTGGGATCTCTTTCCTGGGAGGCCCAGATGCCATGCCTGCGACATCACGGTGATGTTGGGGCTCCGGAGATAGACACGTCTACCCCACCAACGCTAAGGGCTCCCAACTTCGCGCTTCGCGCTGCGCGAAGCGCGAAGTGCGAATAACTCCGCGCTCTCGCGCCGCCTCCCAGGGGAGAAGAGGAGGATGAGGAGGAATCGGAGCCGAACCGCGAAGCGCGAATAACTTCGCGCCCTCGAGGGCGACCTTGCAACGCGGCAATTCCACATGAGCGGCCCTGACGACCTGGGAACGAGCGGGCCCGTTGTAACACCCTGATCAACTCTTCTTGGGAGGTCCAGGTGCCGTGCCTGCGACGTCGCGATGATACGGGGGCTCTGACAAGATACACGTACAATCGTGCGCATGAGGAGCCTGAGCATGAGTGAGTCTGAGTATGAACGAGTCTGAGTGTGAATGCGTCTGAGTGCAAGTCCATGTGTTTACGAGTGGTCAGACCATCAATGATTATGAGCAGGATTGGGTCTCGGCTTGAGCGGTTTCTGTACGAGTGGATCCCAGTATGAGTGGATCTGCGTACGAGGAGGACCTGAGCCTGAGCGGGTCTGAGCATGATTGAGTGTGAGGGTTGAGTGAATCTGAGTTTGAGCTGGTCTGAGCATGAGTTAGTCTGAGCGTGAGTGGGCCTGAGTGTGGATGGTCTGCGTAGGGGTGGATTTGGCTGCGAGGAGCGAGGGGCGAGGCAGGCGTGCGATGAGGCGGAGGCGTGACACGAATCACAAGAACCCCGCAATTACTCCGAATAAGGGTACCACGCATACGATATGCCTTCGGCATGCTTTCAAGACGGAGAACGGGGGATGGGGGAGGACGGGGGGAAGGATGAAAGATGAGGGGAAGGAGCAGCACACATAAGCCAAGAACGAAGAGGTGGTGTTTGTGACCCGCGCCAGTTTAGACAAGGCAGTGCACGCAACGAGACTAAATCTGAACCTTCTCCCGGCTGCGCTGCTGCCGTGGAACGGGGCGGGGTTCGCCGCAGGCAGCTGGGTATGTGATCAACAGCCCTGCAAATTCTTGCCATGCCCCCACCTCACACGAGCGACGAAAATGAGCGGATCTTGTGCAAGATGGCGTAGCGACCTGCCGCGGTGGGTCGGGCGGGCACGCTACATTGAGAATGAGAACGAAGGTGCTCAAGCGCGACTTTATGCGGGCAGCTTGCGCCCGAATGTCGGCGCAGTCGAACCCATGCTTGTGCGTCGCTCACCTGGCCCTCTGGCCAAAGAAGCAGGCAAGCGTCTGGAACAATTTCCCAGGGGAACAGGTGGGGGCGTGTGGCTAGCGTGCGTGAGTCTCCCTCTGCAGGACTCCCCGTGATGGGCTTCTGGGAGTGCCCGGTGTCAGCTCGGCGCGCTTGGCTGAACACTGGAACCCACGGTGGGCGGCTTGCGTCTCCCCTGAACAAGCAAGCCACACCGCCGAATACTTTGGGCATCGAGTGCAGCCCGAATCATCTCAGACATCGGCGAGTGCACCACCATCACCATCGCCACCGCCGCCAGGACGACGAGGATGCACACGGAGGGCGAGGACAAAGAACGAAAGAGGAGGAGCCCGAGAGAGAGAGGGGGAGAGAGATCGAAACCGATGGAAGCCGCGCCCAGCTTCACAATTCCCCCTTTTCCGCGCCGATCCAGCCGCTCGCTCGACGCCGGCCACGCCCGCCAGTCTGCGCCCCCGGCACCGAGGACCACCGCTGGGCTCCCCGTCAAAACTAGCAGCGGCGCCGGGGAGCGCCCAACGGAGCGGGTCGGGGTCGCCCCGTCTGGTCGGGGCTCTGCCTAGGGGAAGAAAAAATAACATAAACATGAAAACTCGGAGGTCCGCGCGGATTTCTCGGATCCGCGCTGGGGCCCCCCTCCCTGGCGCTCCGCCTGGGGCGGCGCCGGAGGCGCCGCCGGGGGCCCCAGCGCGGATCCGAGAAATCCGCGCGGACCGCCGAGTTTTTATGCTTATGTCACCTTTTGTTCCCCTGCTGCCTCCTCCGCCCCGGACCAAGGATGGCGTTCGTGGTTCTGGCAAGCAAGCCACCCGGGAGCCTCGCGCTGCAAGGGGAGGGGGGGGCGCAACCTCGTCACAACAAGTCTACCGAGTCCTCGTCCTCCCCGCCGCCAGCGCCGGGCGGCTTCGCGAGCTTCGGCACGCTCGCGGCGGCCGTGTCGACGCCACGGGGCAACTCTCGGCTCCTTGACGAGGCTCCATATGGGTGTGATATCAGTGGGGACGGCACGCCCAGCATGCGATGCTGTCGCACATCGGCTGCAACAACGGATGGGCAGACGACATCCGCCGCTGCGCGGGCAAGGCCCGCTATACACCGACAAAACTCCACGCAGGCCTGAGATGGCCTGCGCTGGGTCGGATCGCGAAGTCGCATCGGATCGGAAACAGATCGGATCGCCAACGAATCGTCCCGACTCGTATCGAAATCGGGTCGCTGGCGCCAGCTCCGACCGAGGCTGGTGAAGGGAACCGACTCGAACCGAATCGCATCGCGGCCCCCGCCGGCGAATCGGAAATGCTGCCAGCCGTCCCCTTTCACGCCGTTCCCGTTTCGGACGTCCCGATCTCCGCGGGCGGTCGTGGTCGCGCGGCCGCTGGCCGCGGTCGTTGAAGGCCATGAGCTGCGGGGCGTCGCCCGAGAAGTCGTCCTGGTCGGCCTCGGCAGGGCGGCGCGGTCGTGCGTCGGGCTGCGACCCCCTACGGCCGGACCTAGGCCAGCAGCACATCCTCTGATAGCACGAGGCCCTCCGACAGCCAGACGGAGAAACCTTCTTGTGCGCCCTCCCCCAGGGTACACAAGAACACCCAACGAACGCGAAGAACACGAGGGTACCCTCCCTGAGCCGACCTCGACTTGACACCTCGGCCCGACTGTGGCTGTCACGCGCAGACGCTGCTGGCGGGCTCCCCCCCGACGAGGGCCGAAGCGTCCAGGTTACCGCAGCAGGCGGTCAGGCGCGTGCCAAGAGCTCGCCGCCGCGGGGGGTGGTCGCGACAGCCCGAGCGCCGCAGCGGTGCCGCCGACCCCCCCACCCCCCCGAGGCCCCCAAGGGGCCACGCCACAACCCGGAGGATCCTCCCCGCACCGGAGGAGAAGGAGGAGGAGGAGCGAGGAGGAGGAGGAGGAGGAGGAGGAGGAGGAGGAGGACGAGAGGAGGAGGAGGAGGAGGAGGAGAGGAGGAGGAGGAGGAGGAGGAGGAGGAGGAGGCTGACAGGGAGAGGAGGAGGAGGAGGAGGAGAGGAGGAGGAGAGGAGGAGGAGGAGGAGGAGGAGGAGGAGGAGCGGGAGGAGGAGAGAGGAGGAGGAGGAGGAGGAGGAGGAGAGGGAGGAGGAGGAGGAGCGAGGAGGAGGAGGAGGAGGAGGAGGAGGAGGAGGGGAGAGGAGGAGCGAGGAGGAGGAGGAGGAGGAGGTCCGACCTCGGAGGCGGGCTGCTCGGAGGTGGGCGAGGGCGGGGCCCCCGCGAGGGTCTCCGGAGCTCCCTGGCCCCCCCGGGGCTCCAGCGCTGGCCGAGGCCGCGGCGCTCCCTCGAGACGCCGGCCCGCAGCAGCTCACAGTGCTTCCGGTCTGCCGAGCTGTCGGGGCTCCGCGTCCGTGTGCGGCCATCGGGAGGACGTTGAGCTCATTCAGAGCCTCGAAGACGCCAAGGCCACTTCCGACGAGGTGAAGGAGGAGGTCGCGTTCGCCCAGGACGCCCTTTTCCGGGGCATCAGCTGCAGACCGACACCAGAGCTGGCTCCCAGGGGGCCGCAATGCAAGCGTTCGGCGGTGTACCGAACTTGCTTACGTACCTGGAGCGCGTCCTGGTATCACAGCGATGGACAAACGCGCAGAGTCCAGAGTGGGAGCGCACGCCTTCTGAATGCCTGTTGCTGTCTCCACGGTCCTCGGGCAGGTGGAGTGAACACTGTGCGGTCTCCTTGGGCACAGCAGAAGTCGAAGGAAATGAAAGGAACTTTCGGCCAGCGTCCGTTTGCAGGAGCCGCAAGGGTGCATGGGAGAGCCTGCATTGCCTGCATGGCTGTTTGGGGAGCAAAGTGGCGAATGAGCGCAAAACAAGAGCTGGCGGAGAAATACAAAAACACAATGGCGCTTTCAATGGCCAGCCTATGCTCACAACGCGTTCGTTATCCGCGAATGATGGACGATCATTTGGAACATTGTTGTTTGTGGGGGCACGAAGACACTGAAACCGAGCACCTGGAAATGCCCCCCCCCCCCCCCCCCTCTCCCCCCTCTCCCCCCACAGCATCGGCCTCCATGAAGTCCGAGTCGAAGCGGGTCCCCACGCTGTCCAGAGCATTCTCCAGGTTCTTGGCCCCGATAGTGGAGTACTTCACTGTGCTGAAGCTGTCCATGCCATAATTGGCGAACATACCCTTAAACTTGTCTGACCTGGACAAGTAGTTTACACCGACCATCAGAGCGATGATCACGCCGAGAGAGCCAAGCACGGACATGGCACCTTTGCTGAGCTTTTTGTCTGGGCATGGCACAGCCACCTTCATCGGCACCCAGCCGCCTTCGCAAGTGTTCCCGACCACCTTCTGGTAGCCATCCGCATGAAAGACGTCCGAAGACGCACACTTCGCAGGAATCGGAATCGTATCGTCGTTGGCGAATTTGCAGTCTAACGAATCCAGCTGCCGCGCGAATCCCATCTCGCATACGAAGTCCTCCTGCGAGCACGGGCAGTTCTGACGCATAACAGGCCTCTCAAACTTCTCCCCGTTGAAGCACTCCGAAGTCTGCTTCCGCCTCGTGTACGACGACTGGTGGCCCATCAGGCACGCGTCTTGGCCCGTTCCGTCTGAGGGGCTCCAAGTTTCGTAGTCTGAGGACACGGAGTCCACAGCCCAAACACCTTCTGGACGACCCGAAGACGAGACGTGAAGAGGGGGGACTGTTGAAATCGAGAGACAGCGGGCACCGACAGAAACCAAGGGAAACCGCCGAACCATGAAATGCGAGCGATGCAACTTAGAGCTCAAAAGGTGTCCGAACGCGACGAACAGTTCCTAGGAACAACACTTGCTTGAACAGGTCATGTCTTCAACCGCCTGACCTTTACAGAGCGGCTGCCCAAGGGCCTCGAAATCGAGGTGGTACATTGCGCCGCTGTCACCGCGGGTGCCGTAAATGAGGAACTTGGTGGACGTGGCGTTCGGCTCGATCACGACGTTGTCGACCATCATGGGGTAGTCGGAGAGCTCAAAATCATACCAGCTCTTGCCCTCGTTCCACGAGAAGACGACCTGCTTGGTCTTCCGGATGTCGTCCGCCATCACTAGCAGCCCACCGTGATCGCCGAACTCATAAATGAACGCGCCCTTGTGCGCCTCCACCCACGTGAGGCCACCGTCGCGGGACAGGTAAGTGTTGGTCTGGTCTGGCTCGAAACGGAGGTAGGGGCCTGATCTGTCGCTCGCTCTCCCTCCCTCCCTCCCTCTCTCCCCTTCTCCCCTCTCTCCCCTCCGAGAACAGGAGCCCTACACGTCCCACGATCGCGAGCAACCCGGCTCCACCTCCACCACCGCCTTGGCTTCCGCCCACTGGGCCCTGAGGAAGACAGGTGTCAAATGTTGCGGCCATGTCGAGCACGAGGCAGAGCTTGTCACCCGCTAAGGCCCCCGAGAGGCCCTGGGCGCCACACAGAGGGCTGCGCTGGTAGGCTGTCGGAGCTGCCGCAGTCGCCTGCATCGTCCGACAGGCCTGCTCAGCTCCTCGAGCCAGTGGCATTGCGGGGAGCATGCCAGGAGCCGACCGCGGGGCCCGCGCGGCCCCAACTGGCACCCTCGACGTGCGTGAAGCACCCCAGCTCTTCCGAGAGACGTTCGAGGCTCGTTCGCCACAGGGGGTTGTCGGCCCCCAGGGCCTGTGTTGCCGGTTCCCATGATGATGCCGACGGCGTTCTCGGTGGAATAGAACGGAGCGTAGTTGTGAAAGTTGGTCACCCCATGCAGGTGCAACCAGCACCGCTCTGGCGGGCAGTCGGTCTTCTTGCCCAGGGAGTCCACCTTTGGCGCCTTGAGGTACGACCAGACCCCGCCCTTGTCGAAGGATATGACTGTCCGTATCACAACCTCCTCCTTGCCCTTGCCCTTGTTGGCTGCCATGAAATGCAGGGGGGGCACATATGGGGGAAAATGGCAGTGAAATCAAAGCAGGCGCAGACTCCTGAATCCTCTATACCGCAGGTTTGGCTTGCATGCTGGGGGCGAGAACACCCAAGCTGGATGCAAGAACCTAAACGTGGAAGGTTTGACAACCAAGGAGGATAATTGAAGACAAAAAGAACACCAACATAAACTGGATACGCGAGGATTTCTTGAGTCGGCGCTGAACACTCCCTCCCCGCACCCCTTGCGCGCCAGGGGTGGCAACAGGCCCAACGCCGACCTAATAATTCTGCGCAGGCCCGTCAACATTTTATGCCGCTTTTTGTTGTTCTGATCCTCCTCCCTGCCACCACTCTAGAGGCCGCCCGGGTGGGGCCGGAGATGGTCGGAGTAGATGGGGTCGGAGGATGGCGACTCTGGCCGAAAATAGAAGTTTTCCTAAGCATCGCCTAAGGTGTAGATGGGGTCGGAGCATCGCGCCGCATCGCCGATGCATCGCCGACGCATCACCGACGCATTGGCAATATCCATCGGCGATGCATCGGCGACGATGGCGGGGACAACGTCGGCGCTCCACGTCGCGCCGCATCGCCGATGCGGCGCGCGCCTCTGGCCCGATCCGCCCGGACACCGCACTTGTGGGAGGCCCAGACGCTCGTCCCCCTCGTGGCGCCACCCCTCCTCACGCCAGGCCGCCCCGGACTTTCCGTCGCCCAGCCTTTCGGGAGCGGCCACGAGGGGGGAGTCCAAGAGGGGGGGGTGCAAATCATGACCAGCGGCATGTGCGCGGCCCAGCGGGGGGGCCAGGGACGCAATGAAACAGGGAGAGGCGCCCTGAAATCTAGGGAAATATCATGGCCCCCGCCATGATATCCACCCCCCCCCAGTCATCACCCCATCTTCTCCGCCCCCGAGGACTTTCCGTCGGCCGGCCTTGGGGCCGCGTCGCTGATCCACCGCGGTTCCGACCTCGGCCTCGTCCTCGAGCTCCTCGGCCTCCTGGCTCGCCTCCGCCTCTCGGGGGGGCCGCGCGCGCGCGGCGCGGCGCTCGGCGCGCGGGGGCGTTGCGCGCGAGGCTCGGACCCCCTCTCGCTAGGGGGCCACACGCGAACCCTACCCCTACCCCCCCACGATTTCCGAGGCTCGGACCCCCTCGCTAGGGGGCCACATGCGAACCCTACCCCTGCCCCCCACGAGTTCTGAAGGGGGAGGGTGGGGTTTCACTTCGCTCGGGGGAGCTCCCGAGCGAGGTGAACCCCACGCTCCCCCTCAGAAATCGTGGGGGGCAGGGGTAGGGTTCGCGTGTGGCCCCCTACTCCTCGCGCCGGGGAGGAGGCGCGCCAGCGGCCCCTCTCGCGACGCTTCTGTCGGCCTACGGGGCTCCTCGCCGGGAGCCCCGGGGGGGCCAGCAGAGCGCGATTCGGGACGAGAGGCCAGGCCTCGCCGTCGCTCGGACGTCCATTCCCTGTGTTTTTCTCGGTTTCGTGCGTGGTTTTTCGCCAAATGATCAAGGATGCTCCTCGATGGTCCTCGCCGAAGGAAGAATGCACACGTCCGAGCGATGCCAAGAGGCGCCAGGGAAGGGGTCGAGGCCCCCAGGAGGCCTCGTCGCGGATGAGCTCACGACGTCAAGCGTCCGAAGGGCAAGGAGGCCGTGCCTCGTCGCAGTCTGCCGCGCATCCGCGGCGTCCTTCCGACGTCGGGGAGGAAGGGCTTTCGGACAGCACAGCGCAACATCCACAGCCCCACGCCATGGGGGGTTGAGGCTTGGGTTCCAGGGCGTGACCAAGGAACGTCGGTCCCAGGTGGCTCTGGTTACAAAGAACTTTGGCCCAATAGTCGAAATCACCCTCGGTGCCGTCCGCCCATTTCCCTACCACTGCGGCCTGTTTACTCGTGGCCCCTCCGCCACCCTTCTGCTGATTGGCGAGATAGACGCCCTCGAGGCTTAACACCTTGTCAAACTCGCAGTCGCCTGAGCTGCTTCGGACGTTGTCGGGAAGCGACAACGTGTAACGAACGCCCTCTCTGTCAGATGTGTAGACGTTGCCAATATTGGAGCCGTGGTTCACGTGCAGCATTACCACGCCTTCAGAAGTGTCGAGCACCGTATACGATTTCTCTTCTAGGTCCGTGGGAAGCTTAGCTTGCCTGAAAGAGATGCCGCCGTCGGAACTCACCATCAAGCTGACGGTTTGCTTGCTCGCATCCTGTAGCTTGGCCACGAAAATGAATTTGTGGGAGACCATGAACTTGTTTCCATGGTGTACCAATTTCGAATCGTGCTTACCAGCGTCGTCGGAGTATGAGAAATCAACATCCTGCGACCAAACATACAATTTCGGTTGGTCTCCCTTCTTCTCCCGGAAGTGCGTATAGTAGATGCGGTCCTGCTGCTCGTGAGAGACGTCGCCCCAGCTGAACTGCACAACGTAACTCGTCACGAGGTGAAACGTCTTACCTAGGTCTTTGGTGATGTACAGCATGTGGTTGCACGGCTCATTGTCGTTCAATGGTGCCTCATCGTCGTCCTAGTAGTGCAGACTATATACATAGCGATGTGACCCCCCTTGCTAGATCACGGGAGGAGTGTTTGAATAGAATGGGGAAAAAACAGCATCAGTAGCAGATATGTGGACGAGGAGCAGAGGTGGGGAGGTGGGGAAGGAGGAGCAGAAGCAAGAGGATGCGAAGATCAGAAACGTTGGTGAACACTTCGCTACATCGCTATGTACACATCCCTGCTCTATCCTTGGAGCTCGACTGCCCCCGTCTTGCCTCGCATGCTGGTGTCCAGGTCGACAGCAATGCCCACTTCGGCCGCGTTTTGTGGAAAATAAACGTGTGGATGCTGGCTTTCTGCTTCACTCTCCTGAACGTCTCGCCACCGTTCTGGGATATAAAATGAGTTCGATGCGTGCCAGCCACCAGCACCGTGCTGGGGTCCGCGGGGCACTTGGTGATGTGGTCGATGACTATGCTCTCGCCGCCTCCCTGATCAGCCGACTTCGTCCGCAGCTGATCTGTGATATCATTCCACTTCTCGCCACTGTTGACGCTGCGGTACAATCGGCCTTTGGCAGTCTGCACCAGGACAATCTTCTGATCGCTCCCGAGCCACTGTATATCTGCAACAGCGCTGTCAAAGACGACCTCCTTCACCGCCACCTTTTTACCAGTGTCGGCGTGGGAGGTGATGCACAGCAGCGCCACAGGAACAACGATGTCCTGGATCCGCATTTTGGTTTGCCGAAGTAACAAATAATCTAATGCACCATACCAACATGCTGAAACGGCTGAGGCCGGTAGCAACCCTGGCAGTGATAATCTCCACCATCACTAGGAACACCAGGGATGGAAGGCACAAAGGAGGTAAGGGGACACAGGATCAAGAAGGAGGTGGATCAGAACGAGGTTTAGCAACAACGACGGCGTGGACATAATGGAATAAGGCCATGAAGTATGATGATAACTGTGTGCCTCATGCAAGCGGACATCTTTTGAAGGAGACCTACACGCATGCGCATGCCGTGCGGCGGGCCCGCTTGAGCGGTTCGGGGTATGGGCCCTTTCCACACCTCCGTGCCTACTGGGATGATCCCACCAAATTGCAGAGCTCGGAAATCTGGTAAGGGGCGCAATGGTCACCATTGCTTCAGCCGCACCCATGTAGCGGGCTCTGGAAATCCTGAACCCCCAAATGCTGCCATCTCTTGAGGGTGCACACTTTACAGTACTTCCGCTGGCCTTCCGCCGGCGGCCGCAGGCGCCTCGTTTGCCGAGGCGAGGCGAGGCGCCGGTGTGTCGCCCCAGAGGGGGCGGTCCTGCGAGAGCCCGGCGGTGGCGCCAGAGCGCCGAGGAGCTGAAACCCGCGCAGATGCTGTAGTCGGATTTCAGATGGCAGGGTCCTTCCGCCGAGGGAGGGATGCAGACGTCTCCATCCCTCGGAGGCGAGGCCCTCGCTGCCTCCTTCCCCCCCCCCTTCCCCTCGCGGCCCTGGCGGGTGGCCGCGCTGTGCCGCTCGCGCCGCAGCCCTCGCATGCCCACGCCGCGGCCACCGCCCCCCCCCACAGACCTCGACAGCTGGCGGGCTGCTTGCGAAAGCGGGCTCCTGGCCATCGCTCGGACGTCCGTTCCCTCTGTTTTTTTGGGGGGGTTTCCTGCGTGGCTTTTTCGCCAAATCAGAGAGGATGCTCCTCGATGGTCCTCGACGAAGGAAAAATGCACACGTCCGAGCGATGCCAAGGCTCTGGCGCGAGAGGCAGACACTAAGGTGGGCGCCGCCCCGCTGGCTGTGGCTGGCGACCCCGCCGCGGCGGGGGCCGTTGGCTGTCTGGCCGCTGTGGTGCTGGCCTTCCCAGGGCTCGCTGTGGTGCTGGCCTCGCTGGTGGTGTCCTCGGGCTGGTCTGCCCCGCTGGTGGTGTCCTCGGGCTGGTCTGCCTCGCTGGTGGTGTCCTCGGGCTGGTCTGCCTCGCTGGTGGAGTCCTCGGGCCGGTCTGCCTCGGTTGGCAGGGGGGCCCGGCACTCGCTTCGAGTCACTTCGACGCTCTCGGGTTAGAAGGGTCCAGGAAGCGCGATGGGCTGCTCTCGCGCGGGAGGGGGGCATTGAAAGCAATTGCAGAAAGTCGAGGCGGACACGTGGGAGAGAGGGAGACGATAGGAGACGTGTGGCCCGGGATATTACTTGATGCAGTGACATGCCCCATGCAACCTGCCTGTCGAGATCCACAGCGACGCCAGATCTCCCTGGGACCTCCCCAAATATAGATCGGAACGATCATTCCGCCCAGGTTTTGGACGGAACGACCTTCGTGCGTGAATCGTGTAGGCACGCGCATCGGGACCGTCGCCAGTTTAGGACTGATGCCTCCCTCTTCCTCCCCCTGCAGCCAGTCATCCAAGGTACGAGTGCGGGATGCCATGGGAGATGAGAGGGCCCCGGATCCTTTGGGGCGAACCTGCGGCGCCAGACACTCTTAATGGGGCCCCAGGACGCACAAATACATACACACAAATAATAAACAGATTCCCTATATTCTCCCATATTTTCTGGGTTTCTGTCTTCCCCCCCACTTCCCACATTTCCCCATATTTTCTGGGGAATCGAGGATTAATTGTGTCTGTGTGTTTTTTCCTCTCCTGACACTCGAGGGCACGCTCTCCCTCCAGAGCAGTCGTTGGAGGAAGACTCCAATGTCTCGCGCCTGGTGGATGCTCAAAAACAGGGTGGCCGTGGACCACAGCCGGTCACGGCTGGAGAAGCCCAAGGAGCGGTCAAATCATCCGAGCGACGCAACATCTGAAGAGGACCAGACACAGCGACGCTTCTCAGCAACCGCGCCTCGCCGAGGGGCCCAACACACGGCCCAAACATCTGACAAGACAACCCTGATCGCCCCGAGATTGCTCCGAGCCAGGGCCCGCCCAACGGGTGCCAGGATGGTTCAGCCGAGAGCTCAGTAAAACCAGCTCTCCAAGGCAACCCCGATAATCAAAAAAAACACGCAAGGGCTCCCAAGAGACCCCCCCAAGAGTGCCTCAAGAGAACCCACATAAGCCCTGAAGAAACATCTAGCACGCCTCCAGGCAGCTGCAAAGACGCAGCGTGTCAATCATGCACCGTCACGCTTGCGCCAGGCCGCAGCATCATAAGCCTGCTCCCTAGACGGCCCCATGAAATAACCACCCTTCACACATGTCGGTGCGGCGCTGGCTGTAATGACAATGGCAGAATTTGCCTCACATCCCCGTCTGCTTGGCCACCCTTCCCTGTGACTTCTAGTTGGCCCCTGACTTGCTCTGCTCGTCCGCTAGCTTGACGTCATGACTGGATTTTGTTTAGTTTCCTTTTTGGCTTATTCCCATCGTTGATTTTTTATCTGCCATCTATTAATGCAAGTGGGATCGGGCCCCTTTTTCTATCTCAACGTGTTTTTTGCGATCTGACGGACCTTCGCGTTTGCAGACATCTTCTACACAATCTTTTGCTTGCCTGCCAACGCCTGCTTTCCAGCTGGCCTTATGGCTAGGTATCTAGCTCGCCTTCCAACTTGCCTCATCGTCTGCCGCTAGCTTGCCTCCTATCATGCCTGAATATTGCCCTCCAGCTCGACTGCAAGCTAGCATCGGGTTAGCTAACCTCCTGGTTTGTCTTCAGTCTGCACTGTAGCCTGCCTGAGGTCCTGAAATGGGAGAGAATGGATACATGTAGGAAGGGGGCACACATGGATTATCAATGATGTAACCATAGCGTCGCAACGTATGACAAGGCAGAAGGACTTGACTAGATCATAACAAAGAAAGCACACGTCTTGCCACGTATGGCGATGGCGAATAAGAGCTAATCGCACGGCGGCTGGGCAAAACCACCCACAACAACCTGATACAGAACAGCAGAGCAAGTCAAAACAATGCAAGCCAGGGCAATTCAAGCCATGATGGATGGAAGCATGGCAGAGCGATCCACGGGATCACAAAGCGCGGCGCGGTGAGGCCCTGTGTGACAGCGAGCAGCGTGAGGAATCGTTGGGATGCCACTCGCGCGCGGCAAGGCGAGGAGAAGCATGTCTGGGCAAGGCAGCGCAAGGCAATGCACATAATTCCCGAGTCAAGCAAAGCAGTGCAGGCAAGGCTTTGAATGGCAAAGGGGGGCAACGCAGAGCACGGCAGGCAAGCATGGCAGAGCAAGGGAAGTACACGAGGAAGAGCACGGCGAGGCGAGCAAGGCAAGGCATTGTGCGAGTCACAGCCAGCCAATGGCATACTATGTTTCGGAGTCGAAGCTGTGTATGCAGTTTGGGGTCCCTTTTTCAGGAATCCCGCCTCAGGACCATAAGCAGGAGACACCTCGCCGAGAAGCGCGCGCGCGCCCCGTCCCTCTCGCCCCCCCGGGTGAGGACCGTCTTTGGGTCTCACCCGTGAGGACCGTCAGTGGGCCTCACACCCCGCGCAGTTTCCAACATAGGGGCTGCGTGGGTCCCCCCCACACCTTTACATGAAGGCGTCAATCGCCACTGGAGGGGGCCGAGGACTCCTCTAGGGCCTCTAGGGACCCTCGGCCAACGAAGACGTCCCTAGAGGAGGGTCCAGCGTACCTCCACACCTTTACAACTTCCCATGCTGGCGTCAATTGCCACCCGCGCTGTTTTCCTCCTCGCTCCTGGCCGCTCCCCCTGCCCCCCGTGCGCAGGCAAAAACACGTGTGCCCATGTACGCCTTCCGCAAGAGGGGGGTTATCCTTGTCCTCC